ACTAGCTCAGCGCTGCGGAAGTAAATGTGGCACCAGGGCCTGGAGGTGGCAGGGCCCTGGGGAGGACATCACTGAAACTCTCTGATGAGGTACAGCTTCTCCCCATGCCCGCGGTGAGGATGGAGCCTTTTTGTAGTGTCCATAATGGGAAACTTCCACTGACTGATGCAGTTGACACTCTTCACAAGCTGCACCTTGTAATGTTCGTTCTTTCCTGATGCTTTGAGAGACACATGACAAGTCACTGGGCGAGGATTCGCTGTCCCAAATGAGGATGTCGCCCTCCAACACCCCTCATTGAGGACGCACCTGGCCTGGTGGTGTGTTATTGCCATAGCACCACTCTCTGTCTACAGAGCACCCGCTGCCCTTACCCCGGGTAGCTGATGTATGGGGCATGCAACGTGGACAGGGCAGACCCATGGCTGAGCACCACCATGTAGTTGGGGGGACAAGGCCTGCCCGCCCCCAGGCGTTTTTGCATTTCCACCTCTCCTGGTCATTCCCAGGCTTCTCGATGACCTTCACAGTCCCTCCCTTCTCGAACTTGAGCTTCTCGGCAGCCAAGCTGAAAAGGTAAACTTTATGGCCCACATGCAGGACACAGGGGATGAGCCCTTCAGCAAGCTGAGTAAGTTTGGAACTTGGTGGCCAGCTTGCCTACCTCCTCAGGATGTTGTTGAAGGGGAACAGGTCCAACTGCCCGTTGTAGCTGCCACATCACCAGCCATTGCTGCATGTCTCCAAGGCAGTGACACATGACCCCTTCACCAGGGACAGGTCACCTAACCTGTCAGTCATGTAGGCAAACTTGACAAAGTCCAGGATGTTGAGGTCATAGATACGGTTGGCAACTCCCCCCTTGGCAGGGTACTCAGACTCATCCCACATGCTGGTCTTCCTCTTGGTATTGCCAAGGCTCAGTGTATTCTTCAGGTTCTTCATGAGGAAACCCTTCTTCAGGCCATTCTTCCTCTCCATGTAGATGGATAACACCATGGCCTGTCTTGTTGGCCACCTCTTCACCCGCCACCGCGTCTTGGAGTCATTCAGCAGCCACATGTGCTGATTCATTTTGATGTTAATTAAGTTTCTGGTTCTATCAGGCAATTTAGCACCCCTACCCACCCACCCCCCCACATACACTTAGCTATAACAGTGACTTCTGTCATCTTTCAGGAGTCCTTCTTGGGGCTCAATTAGGAGGGATGACTGACAAAACACAACTCCACAAAAGGTGAATTTTTTAACTGATTACACCTCTGAAGTTACAGAGGTGCAGGTGTTCCCCAAATTCTCAAATCCCACTCAAATCTCAGCAGAGAACTGTGATCTGGGAAATCACTTGTAAAAAGGAACATACAAACTCTGAACCGTTTGCAGTGACACGGGCCAACTCCACACATGTTCTCACGTGGTCCCTTGAGCTGTTACAAAGCTAAAAGTTAAAATCAAATGCCTGATTATCAGCCCATGACCCATGCATACCCCAAAGAATTTCCAAGGTCATCATACTGTCCTGCACCAGTGCCTCCATGGCCCTCTTCACCAGCTCCTAGTATTTACTACAGTCTGACAACACCATGCTCTTCCACTCCCACAGCATTAGCCAATACTTTTGTCTTTTCATCACTCTACTAGAATTATTTATACACCACCATTACTGTATAGCATATTCTGAATTTGACTATATATTTACCCTTACCAGTGAGATATATACGTTCATATACTTTCATGTACCAATTAACATCCTTTATTTCAGCTTGAAGAACTCCTTTCTGCATTTCTTGTGAGTCGGTTCTAGTGGTAATGAACTCCCTCCACTTATGTTTATCTAGGAATACCTTCATAGCTATTTCATTTCTGAACCTTTGCTCATTCTGAGCTGACAGCTGTTTTTTTCTCTCAGCACTTTGAATATATCATCTATTCTCTCTGAACGGTGATGTTTCTGCTGAAATTTGTTCATAGCTTTGTGGGATTCACCTTGTCTGAGATCAGTCATTCTCTTGCTCCTTTCATATTCTCTTTGTCTTTGATTTTTGACAATCCTATCTAATAAAAGAGAAACATGGTAATTAGCGTACGACTGCTACCCTTCCCATTGGCTAATCAGGGAGATATGCAAATTAACTACCAGGCAAGATGGCGGCCGGCAGCCAGGCAGCTTAAACTGAACATGAGGCTTGCTTGCTTCAGTAATGGAGGAAAACCAAGGTTCCCCGCCTGCCGCTGCTGGCCTCTGAGCTTGCAGTTTGAAACATTGTAACAAATATAGAAGCTAAACAAAACCAGAAACCAGCTTTCAGCCGGCCGGGATCTCAGAGCTGGAGTTGATACAGTTTTTCAATTATAGAACACAAACAAACCAGATACCTGCTTTCAGCAGCAGAGGCCTCAGAGCTGGAGCCAGAGCTAAAGCTGGCCCAGAATTAAAAAAAAAAAAAAAAAAAAGGAGCGGTTGGGAGCTTCAGTCACCCGCCAGCCTGAAAACAGCCCTCAGCCCCTCACCCAGACTGGCCAGGCACCCCAGTGGGGAACCCTACCCTGAAGGGGGTGTGACCAGCTGCAAACAGCCATCATCCCCTCATCCAGGCTGGCCAGGCACCCCAGTGGGGACCCCCACCCTTATCCAGGACACCCTTCAGGGCAAACAAGCCAACCCCCACCCGTGCACCAGGCCTCTATTCTATATAGTAAAAGGGTAATATGCCTCCCAGCACCAGGATCAGCATGACAGGGGGCAGCGCCCAAACCCCCTGATAGCCCTGCAGCTCTGTGTGTGACACGGGGAGGGGCCACAATCTCCCTATCAACCCTGCTCTGTTCCTGACAGGGGAAGGCGCCCCAACCCCCTGATCAGCCCTGCTCTGTGCCTGATAGCGGGGAGCTCCCCAACCCCCTGATTGCCCTGCAGCTCTGTGTGTGACAGGGTGCGGCGCCCCAACCCCCTCACCCCACGGGCCCTGCTCTGTGTGTGACGGGGTAGAGCCATAACCTCCCCATCTGCCCTGCCCTGAGTGTGAGAGTGGCAGCGCCCCAACCCCCTGATCCGCCCTGCTCTGTGCCTGATAGTGGGGAGCTCCCCAACCCCCTGATTGCCCTGCAGCTCTGTGCGTGACAGGGGGTGGCGCCGCAACCTCCCCATCGACCCTGCCTTGAGTGTGACAAGGGGCGGTGCCCCAACCCCCCAATCGGCCCTACCCTAAGCATGACTGAGGGTGGCATCGCAACCTCCCAATCTGCCCTGCTCTGTGCATGACAGGGGGCAGCGCCCCAACTCCCAAATCAACCCTGCTCTGAGCCCGACCAGGGGCTGCACCTAGGGATTGGGCCTGCCCTCTGCCACCCGGGAGCAGGCCTAAGCCAGCAGGTCGTTATCTCCCGAGGGGTCCCAGACAGCGAGAGGGCACAGGCCGGGCTGAGGGACACCCCCCCCCCCCGCCGAGTGCACAAATTTTTGTGCACCGGGCCTCTAGTTTCATTATAATGTGATAAATGAAGTCCTTTTAAAGTTGAGTCTGTACCAGGACCTATGAGTTTCATGTACCTGGATGTACATCTCTTCACATGTCTTGAATTTTATATAATTTTCATGTCATTAAATATAATTCTTCTTTGACTTTTTCAACCATTTAAAAATGTAACAACCATTCTTAGGTCGCAGGTTGTACAACAGGTAGACACTTAGATTTGGCCAGAATTTGCCAACCCCTGGTCAAAAGCACAATGCTAAAATGTATCTTGATAGAAGTATTGGTGGTAAGGGTAGAATTTTGAAAGTGTTAGTAAATTAAGAGAATTTAGATATGTGGAATGCCAGCAGATCCATTAAAACCAGGATATTTTGGAGAACATGGCACCAAAAGACCTAAGTCCTCTCTTGGCACCTCAGGCAGACATAGGATTCAGAGTGGGGTGGGCCATATTGATGCATTAGAAGATCTGCACTTTGCAAGAAATGTTCTCACGGGAGACAATAAAAGTGGATCCTCAGATGAAGATACCAGAGGAGGGAGTGGGCCCCTAATACCCTATTCTCACCAAGCTACAGGTGAAAATTGGCCCGCATACTCTGGAGGTCCAGCGGGCTTTCCAAGATTAACTGGGCTTCAGGAACCCAGATGGGTCACTTGCATCATCTCAAACATTCACCTATGAAGAGAGATGAAAGTCACTAAAAATATTCTGAAGGGAAGAAGGGAAAAGGATGTAACAGTAATTCCACTTGGAATCTGACAGAGATATGACCTTGGGGCTCCTCCCAGGGGCACATTCCCTGACATGTGCTCAGCTCATCACAGTTCATAAACCACTTTCTCCTCTGTCCAGGTGGTTTCCCCAAGAAGCAGACCCTGACACTACATTGGAGAGCAGGTGGCTTATTTAGGAACAGGTTCTCTGGAAGCACCATTAGGAGAGAGAAGTGGGAAGAGAAGGGGGGAAACCAATGAAACCTGCATTGTGGGGCAACTGAGGTTCAATGAACTAGGGATCTTCAGGAGACAGTGTTATCTTTCCTGGGGGTCAGATGTCACTGGTTGAGAGCTCCCCCTGGAGCTTTAGTTCCCCAGGGCTTCTGGCCTGTCACACCCAATGCCTGAGAGAGAGTCCTCAGACAGAAAACCAAAGGTGCGAGTAGAAGAATATCCTTGCCATGTGGTTAAATGTGTAGGTGCAGAGGAGGAACTCTCAGGAACCAATCCTATCCGCTTCACCATCCATTATATCCTCCACTCGACCATAACTACTTACAATTTATGAATGAAAAAACTGATGCTTAGTGGGGCTAATAGCTCAGGTCATGGAATTAATGAGAGCAGACAGTTGTGTCTGTTTGTTCACTCTTTATTCCCAGCCTCTAGATAAGTGCCTCACAGTGTAAGCCCTAGATATTTGCAGAAGGAAGAAATATCACCCAATGAGAATGATTGGTCAAGTCAAAACTTCAGCTGGGATCTTCTCCTCAAGACCCTGTTTTCTCCACTGGCCTGGCAAGAATGTACCATATCAGCAGCCAGCACAGTGTGTAGCTTCAAGTGGATTCAGAAAACAATTGTGGAATAAATGGAGAAACAATTGAACAAATGTTCCATCTTTCTCTCCTTTCTGTAGGAGTCAAAGAAAAATACCAGAACCAAAGGAGAGAGAGTTCCTGCCCCACACAGTCATGGAGAAATGGGTATTTGCCCCAAAAATTCACACAACTGCTACTTCTACACAGATCTCAACCCAGAGGCTATGACTTCCTCAGTTATGAGGTAGGTGAACAAAGACATTTGATGGAGATCGGAGACTTATTTGGCCCAGGCCTGAGTACCCAGGTAGAGACCTCCACTGTCGTGGTGCATGGAGTTGCTGGAATCGGGAAGTCAACCCTGGCCAGGCAGGTGAGGGGAGCCTGGGAGGAAGGCTGGCTGTTCAAGGACTGCTTCAAGCATGTCTTCTACTTCAACTGCAGAGAGCTGGCCCAGTCCGAGACCATGAGTCTCGCTGAGCTCATCACAAAAGACTGGGCGGCTCCTGATGCTCCCATTGGGCAGATCCTGTCTCAGCCAGAGCAGCTGCTCTTCATTCTTGATAACTTAGATGAACCAAAATGGGACTTGAAGGAGCAGAGTTCTGAGCTCTGTCCACACTGGAGCCAGCAGCAGCAGGTGCACACACTGCTGGGCAGTTTGCTGAAGAAAACCTTACTTCCCACGGCCTCCCTGCTGATCACAGCTCGGATCACAGCTCTGAGAAAACTCATTCCTTCTTTAAAGCATCCTCGCTGGGTGGAGGTCCTGGGATTCTCCAAGTCGGCCAGGAAGGACTATTTCTACAAATATTTCCCATATGAGAGCCAAGCGATTAGAGCCTTTACCTCAGTTAAATCCAACCCGGCACTCTTGACCATGTGTCTCATGCCCTTGGTGTCCTGGCTGGTCTGCACTTGCCTGAAGCAGCAGATGAAGCAGGAGCAACCACTCTCACTGACCTCCCAGACGACCACAGCCCTCTGTCTCCACTACTTTTTCCACGTTCTCCAGGCTCAGTCCCTCGGGACTAAGCTGAGAGGCTTCTGCTCTCTGGCTGCTGAAGGCACCTGGAAAGGAAAGACTCTGTTCATCCCTGAGGACTTCAGGAAACATGGGTTAGACGGGGCCAACATCTCCACTCTCTTAAACATGGGTGTTCTTCAAGAGCACCCCACCCCTCGGATCTTCAGCTTCATTCACCGGTGCTTCCAGGAGTTCTTTGCAGCAATGTCCTATGCTTTAGGCGATGGAGTGTTGAAAAGTGGTCACTTTAAAAACATCAAAATTATAACAGCCTTGACAGATGTATATGACAGGCATGACCTGATTGGGAAACCAACCACATGTTTCCTTTTTGGCCTTTTGAGTGCTCAGGGGATGCGAGAGATGGAGAGCATCTTCAAATGCAGCCTGTCTCGGGAGAGGCATTCCTCTCTGCTGCGCTTGGCCAAGATTCAAGTCCTTCCCATGCCAGGCCCACATTCTTGGGATTTGCTGCACTGTTTTTATGAGATTCAGGATGAAAACTTTATGAAAAATATTTTCACTTGCAATGAAATGAGGATATGTGTCCAAACTGACATGGAGCTCCTGCTGTTCACTTTCTTCTTTAAATTCTGCCACCGCATTGAAAGGCTTCAACTGAATGAGGGTGGACAGCACAGACAAGCAGGAAGGACTTCAGGTGCATTTCTGTAAGTACTCCCCCTCTCTCCTCTCTCCAGCTTCTCTGTTGGTATCACTGTCCTGGCCACTGGGGGCACTCTCACTGAGCCTGGCCCCAGGGGCTAAAGGACTGATTGATGTGACCAGTGACTTCTAACAGCCAAACCTGACCCCCATTCTCTGTCCACCTAGGATCTTCCACAGCAATATATGACCACGTGACCTTCCCTGCCTGCTTCTCGGCAGCCTGCTGTGGCCCTGCCTTGCGCTGCTGCTTCTCTTCCTGTCTCTGTCACAATGGCTACCTTCTCTCCTGGGTGCATTTCCACCCCCATGATGGCATCAGCTGCCCTTCACCCAGCCCACCTGCCTCTGATTCTCCCTCACACATGCTTCCTTCATGCAACAGCTCACTCAGCTGCTTCAGGCACCCCTGGATGGCTGTTGACTATGACATTGGTCCTAAGTTCTCCCTGTCACCTCAGAATGTGTCTGTCTGAAAATGAGTCTTTCTTTTTCTCTACAAAACCAACTTCCCTGTTTTTTTCAATGATGCACTATTGCCCCACAGACTCTGCTGAAACCCACCATGTGAGTATGACAGAGTAGATTTCTCAAATTACCCTCCAGCACCAGCAACACTGTTAACTTCCACATCCGGGTTCCCCACCTCAGTGGCAGCTTTGATTTTTTAGTACTTTGAGGTGCCTATCTCCCCTTTAAATGATTCACTCCATAAATGTGTATTAAGCACTGATTTTACACCAACTCTTAAAAGATCACAGATTAGTAAAGCACAGCCCTGTCCACTACAAACTCAAATCTGGAAGAGAAGACAGATATCCATCCAATAACTAGAACAGCGTGCAAAGTCCATGGTAAGAGAGGCATGGACAAGGTAGAATCGTAGTTTAAGACTGGGTGGATCACACGAGTTTACATGATTAGTACAGAGTCTCAGATAAAGTAATGGTAGACTTGGGTATTTTATTTTCAGACTAGAGCCCCAGTGCATGAATTCATGCACAGGTGGGGGGTCTCTCAGCCTGGCCTGTGGGGATCGGACTGAAACCGGCTCTCCGATATCCCCTGAGGGGTCCTGAATTGCCAGTGGATGGTTCTCAGGTGACATACCAAGGAATCAGGCTCCCTCCTCTCTAGTTCCCAGTGTGTCACCTGAGAACCACAGCTGCCAAGTCACTGAAGGTAGGCAGCTCCTGCGTTGAGCATCTGCCCCCTGGTGGTCAGTGTGTGTCATAGCCACCAGTTAGAGCATCTGCCCTCTAGTGGTCAATGCGCATCATAGCTACCAGTAGGACAGTTGAACTCTCTGACAGTCACTTAGGCTTATATATATACTAGAGGCCCGGTGCACAAAAATTTGTGCACTGGGGAGTAGGGGTCCCTCAGCCCAGCCTGTGCCCTCTTGCAGTCTGGGACCCCTCGGGGCCCACTTGCTGGCTTAGGTCTGCTCCCCTGGGGATTGGGCCTAAGATGGCAATCAGACATCCCTCTGGCAGCCCAGAAGCCCTCGAGGGATGTCCATTTGCCAGCAGAGAGCAGACCTAAGCTGCAGTCAGACATCCTTAGAGCTGCTGAGGAGGCAGGAGTGGCTCCCACCACCACCGCTGTACTGGCAGCCATCAGCCTGGCTTGTGGCTGAGCAGAGCTACCCCCTGTGAGAGCGCACTGACCACCAGAGGGCAGCTTCTGCATTGAGTGTCTGCCCCCTGGTGTTCAGTGTGTGTCATAGTGACCAGTCATTCCCAGTCTTTCTGCTGTTAGGGTCAGTTTGCATATTACCCTTTTACTATATAGGATAGAGGCCTGGTGCACGGGTGGGGGCTGGCTGGTTTGCCCTGAAGGGTGTCCCGGATCAGGGTGGGAGTCCCGCTTGGGTGCCTGGCCAGCCTGGATGATGGGCTGATGGCTGTTTGCAGCTGGTCACACCCCCTTCAGGGTGGGGATCCCCACTGGGTGCCTGGCCAGTCTGGGTGAGGGGCTGAGGGCCGTTTGCAGACTGGCGGGTGACTGAAGCTCCCAGCCTCTTTTTTTTAATTATGGGATTTATTTACCTTCTATAGCTGTCACTGGAGCTGAGAGCTGGCTCCAGCTCTGAGGCTGTGGCTGACTGAAAGCAGGTATCTGGGTTTGTTTAGCTTCTATACTTGAAACTCTGTTGCCATCACTGGTGCGCTAAGCTCTGAGGCCATGGTGGCTGAAAGCAGGTATCTGGAGTTTGTTTGGCTTCTATAATTGAAACATTGTTGCTGTCCTGCTTGCTCCAGCTCTGAGGCCCCGGCTGACTGAAAGCAGGTATCTGGGGTTTGTTTAGCTTCTATAATTGAAACTCTGTTGCCATCACTGGTGCTCTAAGCTCTGCGGCCGTCGCCGGCTGAAAGCAGGTATCTGAGGTTTGTTTAGATTCTATAATTGAAATATTGTTGCTTCCAGAGCTCAGAGCTGGGCTGGGCAGGTGGGGAACCTTGGCATCCTCCATCACTGGAACAAGCAATTCTCATGTTTGCTTCAGCTGCATGGCTGCCAGCCGCCATCTTGTTGGCAGTTAATTTGCATATCCTGCTGATTAGCCAATGGGAAATGTAGCGGAGGTATGGTCAATTACCATGTTTGTTTATTATTAGATAGGACTAAAGGCCTGGTATATGACATTCATGCACTGGAGGGTGTAGGGAGTCCCTAAGCCTGACCTGCACCCTCTCCAATCTGGGAGTTTCTGTCTGTCTTTGCAATAATATGAGCAAATTGTCTGAGACCCCAACTCAGTTTGGTTGCTCACAGAATAATAACGACTTTTTTTTTTTCTTTGCTTCATTGGTAGAGATTTCCTGGAACTTTTAGGATGTCTTCCCTTTAATTTTTCCTAGACACTCTGATTTTACTTATTTCTCTCACCTTTGCTTCTCACCTCCATCCCCCACTGCAACAGTAATTTGCACCAGGCTCACTTTGATCTAGTGTCTAGGAGAGTGGTTCTCAACCTGTGGGTCGCGACCCCTTTGGGGTCGAACGACCCTTTCATAGTGGTCGCCTAAGACCATCGGAAAACACATATTGAATATATAATTACATATTGCTTTTGTGATTAATCACTATGCTTTAATTATGTTCCATTTGTAACAATGAAAATACATCCTGCATATTAATATTTACATTACGATTCATAACAGCAGCAAAATTACAGTTATGAAGTAGCAATGAAAATAATTTTATGGGGAGAGAAACCTATATGGCGGCATAAGTAAACACTGGAAATTGCTGCCTCCCACAACCACCTCAAAAATACAACTAAAAGAGAAAACAGACATCATCCAGAACTAAGGAAGGCTGGCTGAGTGGAAATTCTACTACTAGAAGGAAAGAGAAAAGCATACTGAGACTCAGAGGAGGTGCGGTGTGCAGGTAAAGTGCAGAGGTACGGAGGCGCATGCTGAAAGGGCTGGCGGCTGTGGACACGGTTGTCTTTTTCAATCAGGACAGAGTCCCAAGCCCCTGACTGCTCTGAACTCCAGTTCTGAGCGAGTCTCTGTGGATCCAGACTCATACAGGGAGAGGCTAGACCAGGGGTGGGCAAACTTTTTGACTCGAGGGCCACAATGGGTTCTTAAAGTGGACCGGAGGGCCAGAACAAAAGCATGGATGGAGTGTTTGTGTGAACTAATATAAATTCAAAGTAAACATCATTATATAAAAGGGTCCGGTCTTTTTTTTCAATAGTTTTATTCATTTCTAACAGGCCGAATCCAGCCCGCGGGCCGTAGTTTGCCCACGGCTGGGCTAGACTGTCTGGCATCAGTCGGACCTCAAGGGTGGCTTTCTCTCAGAGGTGCTTGCAGCAATTACTGGGACACTGAAAAGCGGGGCCTCTTAGAGCAGGACTGAAGAGCAGCAATAGCTGCTTGCTCCACCCTATGGATCCCCTGGGAACCCGCCCCACCCAAGCTGTGAACAGAGGCTTTTGCATATGAAAGGCCTGGCCCTCTGCAATCTGAAAATTACCTAACTAACTGCAGCTGGCCTAAGGCCCCACAGCAGCTTGCATTCCTTCACAGCTGAGCTCCTGCTGGGTAGCCTCAGGAAGAGGCTAAATTAGCACCTCCTTAGAGATCCAAGAGCCAGTATACCCAGTGGTCAGAGTGGGACTATCCAGATTACAGCTCCTCAGATCCATAAGGGACACACTCAGGGGGCAAACTCAGTGAGCACCAAAGCCCCACTGAAGCAAGTCTTGCCCCAGAAGAGTGTCTCCAGCACAGAAGTTCTCCCACTGCAGACACAGCTGATTCTCACAGCCAATTGGCCTGGAGGTCAATTCCTCCCAGTGATACCTACAACAATCAAGGTTTAACTACAACAAGACTGTGCACAAAGCCCACTAGGGGGTGCACCAAGAGTGTCCACCTCAGGTAATTGGGGAGGCTGAGCCACTGGGCCCTATAGGACACCTAGCACAGAAAGCCACTCTATCAACACAGGGAAGCATAAAAAATGCAAAGACAAAGAAAAAGGTCACAAATGACAGAAATGGAGGAAAGCAAACTACTGGATATAGAGTTCAAAACCACACTTTTAAGGCTTTTCAAGAATTTTCTAAAAACCGCCAATAAACTTAGTGAGATCCTCAATAAATCTAGTGAGACTGTCGAGGTTATGAAAAAGGACCAAAGCATACACTGACTGAAATAAAGAATAATACACAGAGACCCAACAGCAGACTAGAGGATCGCAAGAATCAAGTTGAAGATCTGAAATACGAAGAAGCAAAAAACACCCAACCAGAAAAACAAAAAGAAAAAAGAATCCAAGAATATGAAGATAGTGTAAGGAGCCTCTGGGACAACTTCAAATGTACCAACATCTGAATTATGGAGGTGCCAGAAGAAGAGAGAGAGCAAGATATTGAAAACCTATTTGAAGAAATAATGACAGAAAACTTCCCCCACCTGGTGAAAGAAATAGACTTACAAGTCCAGGAAGCGCAGAGAACCCCAAACAAAAGGAATCCAAAGAGGACCACACCAAGACACATCATAATTAAAATGCCAAGAGCAAAAGACAAAGAGAGAATCTTAAAAGCAGCAAGAGAAAAACACTCAGTTACCTACAAGGGAGTACCCATACGACTGTCAGCTGATTTCTCAACAGAAACTAGGCAGGCCAGAAGGGAGTGGCAAGAAATATTCAAAGTGATGAATACCAAGAATCTACAACCAAGATTACTTTACCCAGCAAAGCTATCATTCAGAATTGAAGGTCAGATAAAGAGCTTCACAGATAAGAAAAAGCTAAAAGAGTTCATCACCACCAAACCAGTATTATACGAAATGCTGAAAGGTATCCTATAAGAAGAGGAAGAAGAAGAAAAAGATACAGATACAAATTATGAACAACAAATACACATCTATCAACAAGTGAATCTAAAAATTAAGTGAATAAATCTGATGAACAGAGTAAACTGGTGAATATAATAGAATCAGGGGCATAGAAAGGGAGTGGACTGACTGTTCTCGGGGGAAAGGGTGTGGGGGTGAGGGAAGAAACTGGAGAAAAATCGTACACCTATGGATGAGGACAGTGGGGGGGGGGTAAGGGCAGAGGGTGGGGTGGGAACTGAGTGGAGGGGAGCTATGGGGGGAAAAAGAGGAACAACTGTAATAATCTGAACAATAAAGATTTAATTAAAAAAATAAATAAATATAGTCTAAGGAATGGCACAGCTTTGTGGGATAAGACTGAAACTGAATTAGGTGACTGTCATTTAAGACAACTGGGCTTTATGAGAGAATGCGTGTACCACTCCTGTCGGGCAAGAAGAGTGGATAAGGGGGTATTTAGTAAGATGCAGTGTAGAGGTGAGGTAGCTAATGACTGTGAGACTGAGCCATCAACCACCATAATAGCGACTGAGGAGAGGATAAGGGTCCCAGTAAATTCAGAGAGGGCAAAATAAGTGGCCCCGGTGTCACTTAAAAAGGAGATCGGCTTACCTGCCACCACAATCGTTACTGAGGCTGTCCTGGTGATGTAAGTCTGCGGGGCCCTCTCGGGGCCTGGGCAGCTTCAGTCTTTGGTGGCCGGTCCCAGGAGGTCTGGGAGCTCCAAACAAGATCCAGAGGTGGCCTTGCTGAGGTCTGACCTGGAGGGGCCAGACTACAGTCTGATTTCCAGTGGCCTTTCCTCCCACACCTTGGGCAGGACCCAGGCAGGGTCTCGGGTTTGGGCAGGACTTGGTCCTGTGTACTTTCTTGTTGCATTTGAAGCAGGGCCCGGAGGAGGCTTAGTCCTGACTTATCCTTGGTTGGAGGACGGGCACTTTATTTGGGGTTTATGAGAGTGGTGGCTAGGGGCTGAAAGGCCTTCGTCTGAGCCTCAGACTTGGCCTGATCTCATCTTTGTTTTTGGATTTGGGTCTCCTTGTCTCTATCATTAGAAACCTTAAAGGTCATGTTAAAAAGGTCTCTTTTGGGGTTTAGTTCCTTCTAGGCCTATAGGGTTAAGGTTGATGTATATTCTCATGGCCTGTGTAAGGCGAGAGGGGAAGTCTGCCGGATTTTCATGTCTTTCCTGGGTGACCTCTGCTAATTTTTTATAATTAACTGCTTTGTGGGCTGCTTTTCTCAGTCCTTCTAGCAGGCAGAGAACCATGTGGTCTCCAGACCTGTGACCTGCCTGCCCTTCCTGATAGTTCCATTGTGGGTCCCTGTTAGGGATAGCATCCGCTCAGACTGGGAGAGCAGAGGCCTGCCAGCACAGGGTATTCACGTGGCCCTCAGAATGAAGCCAGATTTGGCGCCAGCAATCTCCCAAAGTGGGCACTTAAGGCTAGTGCCAGAGGAAGGAGAGGAAGAGAGCCAAAAACTTGCTCTGGAGCAAGTATGAGACAGGATGGTGGCGGTGGGATCCGCTGGGGAGGGTGGCTGACTCTCAGGCTGCTGAGACTGAGGAGCCGTAGACCGGGGGACTGGGGGATGGTCAGCGGGATCAAAATGGTGGAGGAGGAGGAGGAGGATTTGAGATGGGGGGCGGGGGCTGGGGTGCTTAGCATGAGGAAGGAAAATCTGTGCGGGAGAGCAGCTGTTACAGAGAGAAGGATGTGTCTTTGAGTGTAAAAAAGCCTGGACATACGGGACCTCAGACCATCTGCCCTGCTGGCAGCAGAAGTTGTCAAGATCAATGATAATTGGGAAATCGAAAGTACCATTCTCAGGCCATTGGGACCCATTGTCTACTTTGTATTGCGGCCAAGCGGTATTGCAATAGAAAATGAGGCACTTGGGACATAAGTCCTGAGCGAACCCTAGGGCCTGCAGATTCTTAAGAAGACATCCCAGGGGTGTGGTGCGGGGAATGGCCGACTGTGTGTTCCCTATAAGTGGAGGTCTAATCTCCCGTGGACACTAAGAGAAAGGCGTCCCCTTCTCCTCCTGAGCGTCAGAAACATCCGGGCGATCACACCTGACCAGTAGGCATCCCCACAGACAGGTGGACAGGGAACCTGGTTCCCGGGGAGTGTGTCCTGACCAGCACTGGATGTCACCTAGGGAGTGGCTGTGCAGCCACAGCCCAGAGCCTGGCCCCAATTATCCCAGACAAATATGCAGGACAGCCCAAAAAGAAAGGGTTAATAGACTCAAGCCACTTACCAGTTAATTCAATGTCTGCAGACCTGAAGGGAAAGATGAATGGAGTTGGGGACATAGTGGGTCAAGGTGCTACTGGGCTATCGAGGTGGATTTATCTGGCAATAAAATAGAGATGGCAGTTTGCATCTTGAAATATATAAAATCCATTTTATCTATTTTATTTGGGAGTAGATGAAATCACTTAAATAGTGTGTGACATGTAGAATTTAAATTGGTGGAAATTATACAAGGCAGTCTATCCTATAACTTTCAAACAAAGCCCATCCTCCTCTCCCACATCCTGCAAATGTTCTCGCCTAAATCATTCCCTTTTGCCATCTCTCTCCTGGGGAACCTCCCGATGGTCTTGCTATCCTGGGAAGGAGATATGGTCCCATGCAAGCCAATCTGGACAACAGTATAGTATATAGTAATATACAAAAATCCCATCACAAAACTACCTTTAAACCACCTCACCCAGGTTCTCTTCCCACCTCCCATCTCTTCCTTTCCTTTCTGGAAACTGGGACTTTACAAAATCTGTGCCAAATTAAGAAAGGCATGTCTGCATTGATGAGAGGAACACTGTCTGCATCCCCAAGATCTTTTCCAGGCCCTATGCTGGACACCAAAGATTAAAAAAAAATGAACATCTGCCCCAGCCCACAAGAAATTCCCAGACTGAGGCAGAAACAGACACACTAAATGAGCACTGCAGTGTAGAATGGCAAGGGCTGCACCGTGAGAAACCACATGGAACAGGGGTAATTAGCCCAGGGTGGTGGGAACAGAGGGGCAGTTCTAGAGACTGATCACCCCTGGCAATAGCCCTGCCCATGGCAGCCTGGCACTCAGAGGGGCCAAACCCCATGGTGTTGAGCACAGTGTGCACATAAGACCCCACACACACCGGTCACATGTCCCCTGTCCCGCTCTCTCCCTCAGGTACAGCTGGGGCCCGTTTACAGATTCCTGGTGGCAGATGTTCTTCTCTATTCTCAAAGTCCCTGGAAGCTTGGGGGAGCTGGACCTGAGTGGGAACTCTCTGAGCTGCTCTGCAGTACAGAGTCTTTGTGACGCCCTGAAAAGCCCTCACTGCCGCCTGGAGACCTTGAGGTGAGTCTGGCCTGGGTTCTGATCTGAAACAGGGATGGACAGGAGACCCAAGGTAGAAGTTGTGTCTAGTATGGGTGCATGGTCTTTGTTTTTGTTTATGTTTTTAACATTTTTTATTTTTCAATTACAGTTGACATACAATATTATATTAGTTTCAGGTGTACATCTTGTTATGCCCAGATTTCAAGACCCCCAAAGACAGACCACTAGGGAGCCGAGTCCAATGCAAAAGCAAAGAGCCTTAATCAAGCCCGGGCTTGGTCCCTCTGCCTCCATTGCCGGTGCAAGGGCAGGATTCGAGAGAGCCCCGATTCTTGAAAGAACAAAGATTTTATAGGGCTTGGGGGGGGGGGGGGTGAGGGCCCACTCAGATTACTGATTTGGCCGATTCCGGTTGTTTGAGTGAGGGCTGGGGGCTAGTGACACAAGGGCAGGGTGCAGCTAGGCTCTGGTTACACAAAGACAGGGGGGTGGCTAGCATACTTTTGGCCTTGGGCTTGTTTCCCTTGCTTTCCCATTGGCTGAGATAAGGGCAGGCTGAGTAACTGATACATTCTGCGGCTTTTTCTTGGAAAAGGAGTTAGGGACACAGCTATCAGTCCCGTTCTGTCCTTTCACATCTCAGTGATTAGACATTATAAAAGTTACTAAGTGATCAACCTGAAAAATTCTTGTATCCAACAAATATTCATTGAGCCCCTCTCTGACCATGGCTATTGCAATTAGCAAACACAGACAGGATTCTATTTCCAGAGAACTTGCAAATGATTGACATTAACCACACAAACAAATGTGTAATTATAGGCCCAGACAAGGGCCTCCAGTGGAAAATGACCTTAATAAAGTGAATATTGAAGGACATGGGAAGACTACAGAGGATTTACCTAAGTGAAGCAGGAGGGCAGAAAGGTCAAAGGCCATGTGGCAGGAGGGAGGATGGGCTGTCATGGGATTGAAAGCAGAGAAGTGAGGCTGGAGGATGGAGAGCAAAGGAGCCACAGGAGGCTTCAGAGGTCATGAAGTAAGACTATCCATGCAAGGTCCTGTTGGAATCTGGGGTGGTTGTTTGTTCTAATGCAATGTGATTATAATCAAAAGGTTGATAAAATCAGTACATTTACAAAGTAGAAACAGACTGCCATATAAAACTGGAAATGGAGGAGAGCAACCGTAGAGATTGGGAAAACAGTTCATAGGAAAGTTTCAGTTTTCCAATAAAAATTGTCATCCTGACTGGTTTGACTCAGTGGATAGAGCATCTGCTTACGGACTGAAGGGTCCTGGGTTCGATTCCAGTCAAGGGCATGTACCCTGGTTGCAGGCACATCCCCAGTAGGGGGTGTGCAGGAGGCAGCTGATTGATGTTTCTCTCTCATCGATGTTTCTAACTCTCTATCCCTCTCCCTTCCTCTCTGTAAAAAAACAATAAAATATATTTTTTAAAAATTGTCAGAGGTTGCACTAAGGAAAGTTACCATAGTTTCTGCAAGAAATAGTTGTATCTTGGACTATGGTGTCGGCCATCAAGATGGAAAAAAGTGAATGGATTTAAGAGATCTAAAAAGAAAGTAAAATCCAATAGACTTGAATTATGGAGAAAGGGAGATGGCGATAAAGAAGATAATCTTAGATTCAGGCCAGAGATATCCATGGGATAGTGGCACCTTCACTGGGATGGAAATACTGGAAGAGGAGTGAATGGGGGATGGAATGTCAAGGGTGTGATTTTGTGCAAAATCTTCAAGTTTTTTTGATATATCCAATGGGAGATGTCAAGCAGGTATCAAATTAACTCCTGTGCAAAAATAAGATGCCCCATAAAACAAATCTCAACAAATTTAAGAGAATTGAAACCATGCAAATTATATTATCTGAACATAATTAAATGAAATTGGAACTCAATAACAAAGGGAAATTTAGGAAATTTACACATACACTGAAATGAAACAACACACTCCTAAATAAACAATGGGTCAAAGAAGAAATCACAAGGGAAATTTAAAATGCTTTGAGATGAATGAAAACAAAAACAAAACACATTTGATGCAACTAAATCAGTGCTTGCAGGGAAATGTATATTGTCAATGCCCAGATTTTAGAAATAAGGGCTACAACTACTCACCCATTAGAGCTGCCAAACCTAGAACACTGACACCACCAAATGCTGACAAGGTTGTGGAGAAAAAGAAACCCTTATACATTGCTAGTGGGAATGTAAAATAATATGGCCACTTTGCAGAATCCTAGTGAACTAAACACACCCTTACCATATGATCCAGCAATCGTGCTCCTCAGCATTTACTCAATGAGTTGAAAACCTATATCCACACAAAAATCTGCACAACAGTGTTTATGTCAGTTTTATTTGTAATTGCCCAAACTGGAAAGCAGCCAAGTTGTCCTTCAGTAGGTGAGCAAATAAATAAAGCATGATATATGTATACAATGAAATATTATTTAGTATGTGAAAAAATGAGCCCTAAAGCTATAAAAAGAATGGACAAAACTTAACTGCATATTACTAGTTGAATAAAGGACATTCTGAAAAGCTATCTAAACTAATAAAAGGGTAATATGCTAATTAGATGGACATCTTCTGGATGTCCTTCCAGACAAAGTCATGGTGGTGGAGGCCAAGGCAGAGGCGGTTAGGGTCAATCAGGCCAGCAGGAGAGGGCTGTTAGGGGCAATCAGGCCTCAGGGGAGGGCAGTTAAGGGCGATTAGGCCGGCAGGGGGGAGCAGTTAGGCGTGATTGGGGCAGCAGGGGAGGGCAATTAGGAGCAATTGGGCCAGCAGGGGGGAGCAGTAGGGGGCGATCAGGCAGGCGGGCAGGTGAGCAGTTAGGAGCTAGCAGTCCTGGACTGCGAGAGGGATGTCCCCCAAGGGGTCCCGGATTGGAGAGGATGCAGGCCTTGCTGAGGGACCCCACCCCCATGCATGAATTTTGTGCACCAGGCCTCTAGTATACTATATGATCCCAACAATATGAAATTCTTAAAAAGACAAAAATATGAAGATAGTAAAAAGATCTGTGATTGCCAGGTAAGGATACATATGTAAAGCAGACACTATAATGGTGGCTACATGTCATTTTATATTTCAAAAAACCATAGAATGTAAAGCACCAAAAGTGAGCCATAATGTAACCTATGGACTTTGGGTGATTATAATGTGTCAATGTAGGTTCACTGATTCCAACAAATTTACTACTCTCTTGTCAGATGTTGATAATGGAGGTGGCTGTGTATGTAGGGGCAGAGGTATATAAGAACTCTCCAAAAAGTTCCAGAGACATAGAAACACAGAACCAATTGCAGAACCTCGGAGGGAAGGTGGGAGAGGGTGCCAATTTTGCTGAAAAACTAAAACTACTCTATAAAAGAGAAATAGTCTAGAGCCATGGTCAGCAAACTGTGGCTCATGAACCACATACGGCTCTTTGGCCCCTTGAGTGTGGCTCTTCCTAAGCCTTAGGAGTACCCTAATTAAGTTAATAACAATGTACCTACCTATATAGTTTAAGTTTAAAAAATTTGGCACTTGCCGAAACCGGTTTGGCTCAGTGGATAGAGCGTCGACCTGCGGACTGAAAGGTCCCAGGTTCAATTCCGGTCAAGGGCATGTACCTGGGTTGTGGGCACATCCCCAGTAGGTGGTGTGCAGGAGGCGGCTGATCTATGTTTCTCTCTCATTGATGTTTCTGACTCTCTATCTCTCTCCCTTCCTCTCTGTAAAAAATCAATAAAACATATAAAAAAATTAAAAATAAATTTGGCACTCAAAAGAAATTTCAATCGTTGTACTGTTGATATTTGGCTTCTTGACTAATGAGTTTTCTGACTACTGGTCTAGAGGATTAAAAATGGTGGCAGAGTAAGTGGATGCTGCATGGACATGCTCCCAGGGTAGCAATATATAAAAAAGATCATACACCATGATCAAGTGGGATTATTCCAGAGATGCAAGGCTGGTACAATAGTCACAAATCAATAAACATGAAACCTCACATAAACAGATTGAAAGACAAAAATCTCATGATCATATCAATAGGCGCAGAAAAAGCATTCAACAAAATACAGCACCCATTTTTGATAAAAACTCTCAGCAAAGTGAGAATAGAGGGAGCATATCGTAACATGATAAAAGCCATATATTGACAAACCTACAGCCAACATCATACTCAATGGGCAAAAACTAAAATCATTTCCTCTAAGAACAGGAACAAGACAGGGATGCCCACTCTCACCACTCCTGTTCCACATAGTACTGGAAGTATTAGCCATAGCAATCAGACAAGAAGAAGTAATGAAAGGCATCCAAATTGGAAAAGAAGTAAAACTGTCATTATTCGCAGATGACATGATATTGTGCATAGAAAACCCAAGGACTCCATCAAAAGCTACTAGACTTGCCCTAGCTGGTTTAGCTGTGTGGATAGAGCATTGGCCTGCAGACTGAAGCGTCTTGGGTTCGATTCTGGTCAAAGGCACATGCCTGGGTTGTGGACTTGTCCCCTAGTAGGGGGCATTCAGGAGGCAGCTGATCACTAATCTTCTCTCATCATTGATGTTTCTCTCTCTCTCTCTCTCTCTCTCTCTCTCTCTCTCTCTCTCTCTCTCCCTTTCTCTCTGAAATCAATAAAAATATATCTTTAAAAAGAACTATCAGACTTAATAAATGAATTCAGCAATGGAGCAGGATACCAGATTAACACCCAGATATCTATGGCTTTTTAATACACCAATAATGAACTCACAGAAAGAGAAACTAAAAAAACAATCCCATTTATCATTGCACAAAAAAATTAAGATACCTAGGAATAAACTTAACTAAGGAGATAAAAGGCCTGTACTCAAAAAACTATAGGGCGTTGAAAAAAGAGATAGAGGAAGACATAAACAAATGGAAGAATATACCGTGTTCATAATTTGTAGAATTAATGTCATTAAAATGTCCATACTACCCAAAGCAATCTATAGATTCAATGCAAACCCACAACGAACATTATACCTAATGCTGAAAAGGCTGCATGTTTTCCTCTAACATCAGGAACAAGACAAACCTCTCCACTCTTTCCATGTCTATTTAACTTTACACTAGAGGTTCTCATCAGAGAAATTAGACAAGAAAATAAAATAAAAGTCTTCCAGATTATAAAGGAAAAAGTAAAATTATCTCTATTTGCAGCTTTCATGATTTTATGTAAAAATCCTAAGGAATGCACACACAAAAATAGCTATTAGAACTAATAAACTAGCAAGTTTTCAGGATAAAGGGTCAATATATAAATATCAATTGTATTTCTACATATTAGTAATAAACAATCTAAAATGTAATTAAGAAAACAACTCCATTTACAATAGCATCAAAAATAATGAAATATTTAGGAATAATTCTAACAAAAGAAGAGCAATTTACTACTCTCTTGCCAGATGATAATGGGTGTGGATCAGGACCATGATTTTACATTTGTATACTGAAAACTACAAAACATAGTTGAAGAATTTAAATAAAACTTAAATAAATGTTAAGACTTTCCATGTTCATGGACTGGCAGACCTAATACTGTTAAGACAGCAATGTTTTCCAAACTGGTCTATAGATTCAGCTCAATCCCTATCAAAATCATTGCTGCCTTTTTTGCATAAATGATCAAGCTAATCCTAAAATTTATATGCAAAGAAAAGTTTGTATGTCAAGTCTTGGGAAACCCACCTTCCCAATTTTAATGGCCAAGAGAAGTCAACAAAGATGCCTGAGGAAGAGCATCCAGGGAGGTGAGAGGAATACCAGGACAGTGTGGTGTCATGTTACTTAGAGGAACAGAGGGTTTCAAGGAGTGTGTGGTCCTCAGGATCCATTGCTGCTGGGAGGTCAGGTAAAATAAGGACTGAAAGTTGTCCATTGGATTTGTGATAGGGAAGTCATGGATGTCCTTAGCAGGAACAATTTTATGAGATGATGAAGCCAGAATCCAAATTGGAATGAATTAAAGATGTAGACAGGGGTGAAAATGAGATTACAAATACAAACACTTTTTTCAAAGATTTTGGTAGTGAAGAAAAGCAAGGAAGGGGGATAAAAAATGGCGGTGGAGTAAATGGAAGCTACACTAACATGCTCCAAGAACAAAACTGAAAATACAACTAAAGTATAGAAAAACCACCCTGAAAAATCTCCTGAAGACTAGCTGGAGAGAACCCTGATAAACAAGGACAGAAAGTGGAGATGTAGAGAGACTACTCTGTAGGAAGTACAGAGATGTGAAATATGTAGACAGGCTCCCACAAACAGCAGCTGCAGGTCTGGAGGGATATCTCAGCTGTGTGGGGGTCCCACTGATAACTCTTCGGTCAAAACCCCAAGCTGGGCTCCCCAGGCCAGAGCACCAGAACTGAGAACAGTGCCCACATAACATCTGGCTGTGGAAAGCAGCAAGGTTGCTGTCTGCCAGGAAGAGACAGCTGGAAATGCAGGCACCCTCTTAAAGGGCCAATGCACAAAATTATATGTGAAGCCATTGATCTTGAGCTCCAGCAGAAGGAGGGCAGAGTGGACTGGAGCTGTGTGAGGAGCGTCTAGGGTTGGGGGCTCTGGGATTGGAGCTCAGAGAGCAACCAGCCTGCTCTCCTGTGCTTGGTCATTCCCTCACACTGTGGAGGACATCTTTCTTCAAGGACCTTTGCTATTCAAGTGGTATTTGCCTGGGGGAAAGGCAGTTGCCACACCCTTTTGGAAGACCACTCGCCCCACCCTGTGGTCAATACCCTGAGACTAATCAAGGCTGGTAACAATCAGACTGCAGGCAGAGGAAGATCTTTAGAGGCTTTGAGTCTTTGCCTGATCTCCTTCTGGGCCCAGGGCTAGGAAAAGCAGACCCTGGTACACATCTTGGTCCTTTCCAAAGGCACTGCCCCCAGAAGAGTGAGGCATAAGCTCTGGGTTGCTGATAGCCCCAAAGAGGATACTCAGGGCCAGTCAGAAACAGTGCCTGACACTGTCCTGCACTGGAGATTGGAAGTCATAGCAGATCTACCTAATACACAGTCACAAACCCAAATAGGCAGCCAAAATGGGGAGACAAAAAACAACTCCCAAATGAAAGAACAGAGAATTTTTATGGCTATCATCAACAAATCAACAAACAACAAGTGCTGGAGAGGATGCAGAGAAAAAGGAACCCTTATGCACTGCTGGTGGGAATGCAGACTGGTGCAACCACTATGGAAAACAGTATGGAGTTTCCTCAAAAAATTAAATATGGAACTGCCATTTGACCCAGTAATCCCATGTATAGGAATATACCCTAATAAACCAGAAACATTAATCAGAAAGAATGTATACACCCATATGTTCATAGGAGCACATTTTATAATAGCTGAAATCTGGAAGTAGCCCAAGTGCCCATCAGTATATGAGTGGATTAAAAAAAAGCTGTGGGACATTTACACTATGGAATACTATGGAGCTATAAAAAAGAGGGATCTCTTACCTTTGGGATAGCATGGAAGGACCTAAAGAGTATCATGCTAACTGAAATAAGCCAATCAGAGAAAGATAAGTATCACATGATCTCACTCATATGTGGAATCTAATGAACAAAATAAATTGTTGAACAAAGTCAATCCAGAGACATAAAAGCATAGAACTGACTGCAGAATGTCAGAGACAAGGTGGGGGAGTGTGGCTCGGTGGGAAGAGATCAACAAAAGAACTTGAATGCATATAAAGATAACCCCTGAACACAGAAAATAGGGCGGTGAAGGCCTGGGGTGTGGTGGTGGGGGAGGGGGAGGGCTAGAAGGAGTCAATGGAGGACATAAGTAATACTTTCAACAATAAAGATTTAATTTAAAAAAAAAACAAGAGAAAAGAACTAAAGCATAAGAGAATGTGGGACTGACTAATAGTGAGTGAGTGTGTGTGTGTGTGTGTGTGTGTGTGTGTGTGTGTGTGTGTTTGCACATGCTCACGTGCACTTATTTACACTAAAGAAGGAAAAGGTCTAAGTTTGAATATATGTTGATAAAGGATGATGAAAGATACAAGAAGACTAATTGATGGTCTCCCTTTCCTCAGAGGGAGGCAATGGGAGAAGGATGGCTTGGGAGGAGTTGGGAAACACCTCCAACTGTAACAGGAGGGGAGAAGAACTTGCAGAGGGACATTGGCCAAAAGACACATAGATTTGATTGTGGGAACCTGATGGTATCTTTTGTATTTAAAAATATATATATATGTTTTTATTGATTTTAGAGAGAGAGGAAGGGAGAGGGAGAGAGATATAAAAACATCTATGAGAGAGAAACATTGATCAGCTTCCTCCTGCATGCCGAGTGTAGGAATATCTAAGACCTTCAAGCAAAGTCTAACTAATGATTGGATTTCTTCTGAAAAGAGTTGAATATGTGAGACTCAAGGATTCTGGGTGCTTCGATTTTTATGGACATGTAAAACTGAGCATAGTACATCGACAAAGCAGAAGGAACTGGTAAAGGAGAGGTTGGAGGTCTGAAGAGGGAATTCCAAAAAGAACAGGGTCAGAGAGGAGACAGGAAATTGTAGAGTCAAAGACACAGGAGCCTTGGCCCTTCTGAGACAGAAGGAAAAAAGAAGGGCGACATGAAAACTGAGATGCAAGACTGTGTGAAAACAGGAAGGAGACTTAGAAGAAAGCCAAGGGGCTCAGGTTCCACGGCAGCAGCATCCTTTAAGAACTGTTTAAGCACATGGGATATGTTACCACCTTTGACCTTGGCAACCACCATGGGCAAAGGCACGTCGAATTCATGTTACACATCTGTAAACTTGAAGATTAAGAAACCTGCCCCCAGTCTTCATCTAGTAACTGACAGAGGTGAGCTTTGACACCAGGCCTATCTGACGTCCAATCAGGTGACGTGTAACCAGGTCTCAATTTTAGTGTCCTCCACCTCATTCAGGGCTTCCCACCATCACATCCCAGACCCCTTTCAGCGGGTACCTGCCAAGCTTCCATCTTTAGCTCAGAACTGGAAAACCACACCCTCCTCCAGGATGTGCCAGGACTTCTCAAATTCAGTGTATTCTAAACTAGACTTTCCTCCCTAACCAAAAACACCTGTTCCTCTTCTCAGGACTAGCTTGATAATTTGTAGGATCCATACAAAATGAAAATGCAGTGCCCTTGCTCAAACATCAGGAAAGAAATGAAATCAAATGTACTAAGATATAAAGCTTTATTGCTCCACCCCACGGCTACAGCTGAAATTGCTCACCATTGACATTACTTTGAGGGCTGGGCAGCCACAGGAGGGGAGATAGTTGTCCTAAGACCATAAATCAGAGAGAAAGTGAGAACTAGGCAGGGTGAGAGAATGGGGTTGGGAGCAGATACATACCCTCAAGTTGAACCTCTCCAAAGCATCGTGAGTCAGCTAACTGGGCATTTGGAGGGTTGATGTAGTTAACAGTTAGGCCCAGTACACAACTGGAAGGTTGGGTTAATTAATCCTGCAGTGCTGATGTGGAGAGTAGGAAGCATTGGTAAGAATCACACAGGAGTGAGAAATGCTGACGAGTGACTCCTTGGCTGCAGGAAGAAATGAAAATCTCCCATGCTCTGGCAGATTTGGCTCAGTGGTTAGAGCATCGACCCCCAGATTGAAGGGTCACAAGTTCGATTCCCAGTCAAGAGTGAGAACCTCAGTTGCAGCTTCAATTCCTGGTGGCCCAACAGGGGCCACTTGCAGGAGGCAACCAATTCTTTTATCTTTCACATCGGTGTTTCTCTCCTTCTCTCTCCTGCCTCTCCTCCCTTCCACTCTCTCTAAATACCAATGGAAAAAATATCCTTGGTGAGGATTAAAAATAAAATTTCTTTTTTCTTTTCTTTCTTTCTTTTTTTTTTTTTTTTTTTGCCGGTCTCTGAAACCTTTATTTTATTTTTATTTATTTATTTTTCAATCTTTATTGTTGAAAGTATTGCATATGTATCCTATTTCCCCCATAAACCTGTTCCAGCCTCCTCCATCCTCCCTGCAACTGCCCAAAAAATATAAAAAAATTTAAATAAAATGTCCCAGGTTACTATAATCCAGACATATGTTTTTCCTTTAATATCACCAAGGACCCCAAAAGGGCCACAGTACTGGAAATGGAAACCAGACCCCAGTTACCCTGAGGAGAGGGCCCTCAGGACTTGCAAATCTCTCCCACAGGCTGGTCAGCTGTGGCCTCACATACAACTGCTGCCAGGGCCTGGCCTCCATGCTGGGTGCCTGTCCCAGCCTGACAGAGTTGGACCTGCAGCAGAACAACCTGGGTGACCTTGGTGTGAGGCTGCTCTGTGAAGGGCTCAGGCAGCCTGCCTGCAAACTCAAATATCTGAGGTAAGTCCCTGGTGTCATTTCTGGGCAGAGGGCAGGAAAGGGGAGGGAGAGCGATGGGAAGGGGTGTGGGGGCCCTGAATTGGATGCGAAAGTAAAGGGGCAGAAAAATGCCTGGGCAGCCTGGCTTTCCTACCGGATCCGACACTGATTTAGGCCATGAGACGGGCAGGTCTTCACCTGAAACTCGGTTTCTTCATCTGTATATCAGGGCTATCATACCCACCTCATAGATGTGATGAAATAAAATTCATGTAAAACTAGAGCAGTGCTGGGAACAGAGTTGAGAGGCTCCAATGAGAACCACTGGTAAGACCACATGTTCAAAGGATTTCTGCCCCAGTTTACCTCTCCATCCAAGGCAGGCCTTGAATCCTTTCTTCCTTCCTTCCTTCCTTCCTTCCTTCCTTCCTTCCTTCCTTCCTTCCTTCCTTCCCTCATTTATTCATTCACTCATTCATTCTTTCATTCATTTCATGACTCCCACGTGCCAAGCACTGGGCCATGCACTGAGGAGACAATATTTAGCAACAGGTGTGGGTCCTGCCCCCTTAAGCTTGCACTCCAGTGAGAAGGAGACAGATGTTGATGGCATGTTAACACACAGTGTGTATCTCTGAGCTCCGTGCAGTTTGTGAAGGGAAAGTGCACTGTGTTATGAGAGTGTAACAGGGAGGAGGATGGAATTAGACTCAGGGGCAGGGAGAACCTCTCTGTGGAAGTGACATCAGACCGAGACCGGAAGCAGAAAGAGGGGTTGACCAGGCCCCGTCAGGGGGAGCAGTCCAGGCTGAGAATAGCGTGGGGGAGACCCCAGGACAGAATCAGGCTCAGAGCTCTGGAGAGCCGTGTGGCTGGGGTACAGTGACCCCAGCCCTCATTTCCCACCCTGTCTCCCGGCCACTTCCTGTCGCTCCCCCCAACCTGAAAACAAGTCCACAGCCAGTTTCTGGCTGAACATTTCCCTGTAGACCTGGCTGGGGCCTGTCTCACACTCACAGAGCTGACAGGGCTCCAAACCTGTGTGTCCTGACCCCTCAGTCTTGGCTCAGGCTCTAGCTGACTCTCAGCCTTTCCTCTGAGAGGCCTCCTTTCTCAACCTTAAAGCAGCAGGAGGTGAACACTACATGTGGGTCACCCCAGAGCCCACCGTGTCCCTTCACAACCAAGAGAACCCCATCATCTAGGGCAGTGATGGCGAACCTATGACACACGTGTCAAAGGAGACAACGCAAACTCATTTTTTTGGGTTGGTTTATCTTTGTTAAATGGCATTTAAATATATAAAATAAATATCAAAAATATAAATCTTTATTTTACTATGGTTGCAAATTCAAAAAAATTTCTATATGTGACACGGCAAAAGAGTTAAGTTAGGGTTTTTTAAAATGCTGACACGCCGAGCTCAAAAGGTTTGCCATCACTGGTCTGGGGCTACCACCACCCAGCCGCCTCCCCCTCTGAGCATGTGTGGCTGTCACCATCTCCTATCTCACCACCTCTCCAGAGCTGAGCCTTTGCAGTAGGTCTGCATCCATGCCCCGCTCACCCATTATTCCTTGCCTTTTGGTTGCCTCAGAGCAGCTCTAGGTGTCCTGCGAAGATTTCTGCCTCCTTCCTTCCTTGGGCCCTGGGAGTGGGATGAGAGGGACAACCTCTGTATCATGGGCCATCCCCTCCCCAGGGGAGAACAGCTCTGACAGCAGGAATGAGGACGGTGTGTGCCCTGACAGGTGCAGGGTCTTCACACCTGCCTTGTCCATGGCTCACAATAGGCTGAGCAGGTCCCTCCATGTTGGAGGTGAGGACATGGAGGCCCAGAGAGGGCAGCAGCCATCCCAAATCCAACAGAAACCCCAGAGCACAGGATGTGTGAGAATGGAAACAGGCTCTTTCTTTCCAGGAAGGCTCCTAGCCTCTAGGAAGGAAATCCCAGGACCTACTTCTGTGTGGTGAGTTTGAGGCCATGGGAACTGGCTGTTCTCTGATGGATGCTGTGAAGTGCTGCCCAGTTCGCTTTCAGGAAAGAAGACCCAACCCCCACCCCTTGGAGTGCTGCCAGCTAAAAGGATGGCCTCTGCCAACTAGGGCCATCTCACACAAGGTCACCTCCCTCCCTGGGTGGCCTGCATCCAGTGACTGGGGTAGTGGTATAAGGACCCTCCTGCCAGTATGGAACAGCCCTGGAGGGTCATCCCCACAACAAACTTCCCACAGAGTCAGCTGTGTCCCTGGGGACTGCATCACACCCCAACTTGTCCCTCTACCCAGTCCTGTTACCTCCCTTTGCCCTGGTATTGACCCAAGAACACTCCCTTATAATAAACCTCCTAACTCTACTTTCCATCATAGAACATATTTTCAGGGAATCCAATCTACAACAGGTTCCTGCAAGACATGGAAGGTTCCATGATACTGGGCCCTGAGGCCCTTGAGATCGTATGGGTTTCCCAAGATAACTGGGCTTCTTTTGTGCTTGCAGGCTGGACCAGATTTGGCTGAGTGAGGAGGTGACAGAGATGCTGAGGTTCCTGCAGCAGGAGAAGTCTCGGCTGATCATCTATTATGGGTAAGGGGGAGACACAGAACTCCCTCAAGCTGGCCCAGTCAAAGGGCTGACTCCTTGAGGCTGTTCCAGGAACATGGGCCAGAAGTAAGGTGGGGTGAGGTTGGGAGCAGAGACAGACAGAACCAGGAAGAAGCCAAGAAACAACAGCAGCCAGAGTAAGGTTGTTTGTTTGTTTGTTTGTTTGTTTGTTTGTTTGTTTAGTTCAAACAAGATTATGCCCCTTCTCTGTTTAAACCCTCCCATGAGATAATATGGAGGTGAAAAAAATGAAGAAAAGTGTATGAGTGAGTGGGTGAGATTTGGAACATGAAAAGCAATGATGTTGAGGGGGAGATAAGGACAAGCAGAGAGAGCTTTGGCGGGACAGACCACCCTCATTCAATCCCCACACATATAAACAACCATGCACGCAGCCCAGCTGAGGGGAATCCTGGGAAGAGGAGAATACGATTTTCTAATAGGAATTTGCTGCAGGCCCATGGCCTTCTTTTGGTATATTTTGGCCTGTGACTGCAAAGTAAATCTATGCCCTGGTTCCCATTCCTCTGCCTCACCTAAACTGGCAGAAGACATTAGGAGACCTTAGGAAGAGCCATTCCTTAGGGAACAAGCATTCCCCTCAGACCCACAGTGTGTTAGGGACAGGGCCAGGAACATGAGCCCAACACTTAGGAATTAACTCAGCAGGGACAGAGGCTCAGGTGACCCATGGCATGAATCATTGTGCCTGGGATCAGTCTAAATGCCATGATGGCCTATTTGAGTCCGTCCAAGGACCTGAGCTGAGTTATGAAAGGTGGGAAGGTTAGCTGGGCAGAGAATGGGTAGATTCCTGGCAGATGTAGAGGCTCTGATCTCAGCTCCTTTGAGAAATGGAAGGAGGCCAGGTACCAGAAACACTGCTACTCAAAGTGTGGACCATATACCAGCAGTGTCAGCATCAGCATCACCTGAGAGCTCATTAAAAATGCAAATCTCAAGCCTTACTCCAGACCTGCTGAATCAGAATCTGTGTTTTGACAAGGCCTCTGAGCAGCATTGGATCAGAAGTGAGTAAGCAGGCAGAGTGGCAGAGGAGGGATTGGAGCTCAGGGGTGGCAGGCAGTTGGAAGGACAAAGAGGCCTTTGGGCCATGTTAATAACTTCCGCTTCTACCTCAAAAGCAATAAAGGAAGATTTCAGGGCTTCAGTAGCTACGTGATGAGTCAGGTTCAAATTGAAAACCAGCTGCTGTGTAGAAATGGCCTGGAGAGGGACAAGAGAAGAAGACACCTTTAGGGGGAGGATGCAGTGGTTCAAGCCACAGATGCCAGGGCCTTGGCTGGAGGTGGAGGCTGTGGAGGTGGAGAGAAGGGATTAGAAAAAAGAGCTACACTAGAGCCAGTGACATGGTGGCCAATCCACTCTCAGAGAGATCCAGAAGGAGTCAGAACTACATCCCAGTTCCTGCATGGATGGAGGGCTGGATGGGGGCCATCATGAAGACAGGGTCTATGAAAGAACATCAGATGAAGGCCATGAGTTCCCTTCAGATAGGTTGAAATTGAGTGGGGATGTCACATAGACAGCCCCAACTTCCTCCAAGATCTCAGGGAGAATGACCAACTCTGTGTCTAGGAAGCCAAGTGCAACGATCACTAAAACTGTCCCACGTGGAGGACAGACGAGTGATGGCACATCTCCACCCCAATGGCAGAGATCAGAATGAGGCACTTTGAAGGGGCCAGGCTGGGAGCATCAATAATTGGGACAGGGGTGGGGAGGATATGGAAGGCCATCCCCTCCATGCTCCTGCCTCTGGGGTGAGCCATGGCGAAATTCACAACTAGAGAAGCCTCGCTCCATGCAAAATCTTCCACACCTAGAGCCTGGCAAGATCTCTGGTTCCCTCCCTCCCAGGCTCAGGGGCTGAGGCTGCTCCTCTCCAGCTCATGTCTGGAATGTCTCAGACACTGATCCATGCTGGGCTTCTGAGGCCTAGGAATCCCTTTCCGTCACTGCCCATCCACCTTTAGAGCCATGTTCTTCTCATAAGCTACCTTCCTGGTGGATGAGGGAATAGAAATGCCTTCTGACCAGTGGGCAGGGGTTGCATCAGGGGACTACAGGGTTGGGCCTCCTCAGATAGCAGGTAGGCAGCCCCAGTAGCATGGACAGAGGCTACTAACACACACCTTCTGAAGTCCAGGCAGACCAGCCATGAGAAGGACCCCTCCATGTTCTAGCTTAAGAGGTAGGAGAGGCCAGACAGGAGATCCTAAAGCTGACCACTTCCATATCTTTTCCTCTCACAGAAAAGAGGTGGTATCCTCGAGTTGGCCTTATCCTGGACTTCAGAGGAAACAACCAGTGGAACCTCTAATGACTCCTAATGAATTCTGGGGCACCAAATGGCCTGAGGCTACAGAGATGGTTGACAAACACAGGGACAGTCTGGACTGGTGAGTGAGGGGACTCTACTGTGCCAGGCTGGCCCCCAACCCCGCCATCCCCACACTGGATCCCCACAGACACTCAGCACCCCAGTCATAGCCATGTGGGCCCCTTTCCATTGCTGAGCCACAAGGCAGACAGACCAGGGCTGGATTAGAGCTTTTATTATTGAAACTGAAGTTTTATTATGAAAAGCTGCAAACAACAAAGAAAAAGAGTCCAAGGGACTACCACTTACTCATTACTCAGCTTCAACAACCATTTTCCCAAATCTGTTTCAACTATTTATTTTCCCCTTCTTTTGTTACTATAGTACTAGAGGCCCGGTGCACGATATTTGTTCACGGGTAGGGTCCATAGGCCTGGCCAGCAATCAGGGCCAATCTGGGGGGTGACTGGCAGGGCGATAGGGGGGATCCCCCCTGGCACCTGCCTTGGGCAGCCTAAGGCCTGTGGGCTGGGGGCAAATCCTGCATTGAATATCTGTCCCCTGGTGGTGAGTGCACATCATAGCAACCAGTCATTCCACCAGTTGTTTGGATTTGCATATTAGGCTTTTATTATATAGGATTTTTGTTTTATTTTTTAAATACTTTCAATTTATTGTATGTCGCGTATACCTCAATAAAGTTTTTCTTTTTGTTTTGGTTTGGTTTTTTATTGATTTCAGAGAGAAAGGAAGAGGGAGAGAGAGATAGAAAGAATCATCAATGAGAAGAGAGAGTCATTGATCAACTGCCTCTTGCACGACCCCTACTGGGAATCAAGCCCACAGCACAGCAGGTGCCCTTGACTGGAATAAAAACCCAGGACCCTTCAGTCCATGGGCTGGCACTCTATCCACCAAGCCAATACAGCTAGGGCATTATTATAGTATTTTAAATACATGATATCAGGTGATCTTGTCCATATATATTTTGTGATGCATTTTGAAGAATAGAAATAAAGACCTTTTCTGCCATAACCACAATGCCACTATCATATCTAAGAATGTTTATAATAGTCATTTTCATGTCATCTAATACCCATTCTGCATTCAATATGCTCAATTATCCAAAATGTGTCCTTGTAGTAGGTTTGTTCTAATCAGGATCCAAACAAAGTCCACTCATTGTATTTGGGTTGTTATGTCTCATAAATCTCATTTAAATCTCTTTCCACCTATATGTTCCTGTCTTATTAACATCCACTGTGTGCAAAGTACCATACCAGTAACAACCAGCCAGAGTCATGCCTCCCAAGAGTTCCACTCATAAGTAATCAATGTCTATAATCTTAGTCCTAATCTCTTACAAACACATTACCATTCGCTGTCACGGACATGATCTCAGCTGGGTGATAATATTGCTCCCAACTTACACACACAAAAGCTGACATCCCAGGAACCTGCTCTATACCAACCAGGAACCTGGGGAAAGTCTCTGTAATATTTCTGTAAGTGTTATTTTAAGCTCAAGTGGTTATCATTAATATCACTATATAGACTGCGTTAATTGTTGGAAAGTAGGACCTTTAAAAATAATAACATTCCTATTTTATTGTTCTTAACACTATTATTATTTTCATCATCATCATCATTCTAGAAACAGTTAACCACCTGCAGTCATATATTAAGCCGTCAGCATACATTTAGGTGACTTATTACTCACAACTCTATGAGATGGTGCTATTATTACTTTTACTTACAAATAAGCAAACAGAGATTAGGCAGTTCCAGTGACTTGCTCAGGGATCCACAGTAGAGAGCAGAGGGGCTACGACACAATCGCAAATCCCTCTGTGATATGTTTGCGCTTGCAGCCACTGTACTAGCTATGCAGGGCATAGTTTAGGGTGGGATATTCAGTACATACTCAGGGGGCTTGTGTAGAGTAATTAATTCAGTGTCTACTTCTCTCTGTAATCCCCAGAGTTCACTTCCCCATGGGTGGCTCCTACCCCTGGAACAAATCTAACAGGAACCCCAGAACACAGCGCCTGCGAGAGTGGCTCTTTCTTTCCAGGACACCTCCTAGCCTCTAGGAAGGAAATCCCAGGACCTACTCCTATGTGGTCAGTTTGAGGCCATGGGGCCTAGA